GGAACACCATCTTTAAAGGTGCAGAAACAGCCTAACCTTGCAGGAGCACACACAACTCGGGTCTCTTTTGAGTATGAATCACTCCCTTTACAGAACATCTGTTTTTGTGGCAAAAACACACCCAGTGGCTTTTAAGAGACAATTTTGTGGACTACGTAGATACAAAGAAATGGGTATGTAAAGAAGTGTTGACTTTAAAAAGCTGACCACAAGCAAACAGGCTATACAAGCAGAGAGAAGTTAATAAGAAAACATGCTCCTGTGAAGAGTGCTGAATTGGAAATTAATGTCCATTGGGTCCCAGTTCCTGTGAAGTTGCTTCACTCCATATAAAAAAACAGGCTATTTTCTGTGTCACTTGCCCCTACACTGCTCCTCCTGTCCTAGGTTTCATGGACCAGTAAATGATCTTTCTACCAGTCCCAATTACCGCGCTGGCCTTTGCTTTGTAAGGACTCAAAATCTCAGAACTACAACTCCCGCTGTGCACCAAGAATCTTTTTAAACAGTGCCATCTGGCGGTGCTTAAGCCTTAAAACTGAAATTCTCTCTAGGGATATGCCTCCATTCACAATGGGAGGAGAGGGGGCTCTGACCAACTGTTTCTGGTATCAAAAGTTTTCACGCCAACAATATAAAGAACTCTTACAACTCAACAATAAAAAGACAAATAACCCAATTAAAAATGGTCAAAGGATCTGAATAGATATTTCTCCAAAGAAAATATACAAATGCCCAATAAGCACATAAAAATCGGCTCAACATCATTCACCACCAGGGAAATGCAAATCAAAACCAGGATGGCTATAATAAAAAAGGCTGTGAGGATGTGGAGAATTGGGACTTTCATGCACTGCTAGTGGGAATGTAAAATGGTGCAGCCACCTTGGAAAGCAGTGTGTTAGTTCCTCAAAAGGTGAAACGGTTACCATTTGACCCAAAAATTGTACTTTTGGATATGTGAGGGATGAAAACATATGCCCATATAAAAACTTGTACAAGAATGTTTATAGCAACATTATGCAAGACAGTCAAAAGATGGAAACAACTCAAATGTTCATCGATTGATGAATGGATAAATAAGATGGAATATTATTCAGCAATGAAAAATAACAGAGTACTAATACATGCTTCAACTTAGGTAAACCTTGAAAACATTCTAAGTGGGGGGGGGGGGGGGGAGCCAGTCAAAAAAGACCACATTCCATTTATATAAAATGTTCAAAATAGGGAAACCTATAGAAACAGAAACTAGTGCTGCCTACAGCTGGAGGAGACAATGGGAGGGTGATAGCTAAAGGGCACAGGGTTTCTTTTTGAGATAATAAAAATGTTCTAGAATTGACTGTGGTGATGGTTGCATAATTCTGTGACTATACTAAAAACCATGCAATTGTACACTTTAAATAAGTGGAGAATAACTGAATTATACCTCACTATATCTGTTATAAAATTCTTCAGGCCGAATGTATCTGCTATAGCAATTAATGTAAATGGGCTAAATGACTAAACACACTTTTTCCAAATTGTTGTAGCATCTAGAGCAGAGGCGGGCAATTTTTTTTCTGTAATGAGCTAAATAGTAAATATTTTAGACTTTGCAGGCCATTCGGTCTCTATTGTAACTACTCAACTCTGCTACTGTAGTGAAAGTAGTCCCAGACAATATGTAAATGAAAGTGTAGCTGTGTGCCAATAAAACTTTAATATGAAAACAGGTGGCAGGCTGGATGCCTTATCTTCAGATTCTCCCTCAATCTACCACAACCATGAGAAAGATGCGTCTGAGGTGGTAGACTCTGAGGAGCTAAATGACTTGACCAGGTGACAGAAAACCTGCAGACGGAGCAGACAAGACTTCTAACCTTGACTTCACTGGGCGTTTGCACAGCCACACATGCTGCCTCTCTAGAACACCTTCCCTTCCACGCAGCTGGTACAGCCTCACACAGGTCTCCTTATTGCAGCATCTCCTCTAACACCCAAGCCGACCTTGCTTAACCCCTCTTTCCTTCTGACCAACTTCAATGACATGGCCATTCCTACGAGGCCAAGATCAATCTACCTGCCAGGTGAAATCTTCATCAAGGCCCCTTTTGGATTTAACCTTCTGCCGTGCCAAAGACTCAGAATCTCACCACTGGCAAAGTCTCTGTAGATCACTCATAGGCCTGGTTCACATATCCCCCTCCCGCTGTGCTTTATTATCTCTTTCATTCATATTTCCTTCCACAGTTGACTACCTACCATGTGCCAAGTATTTCCAAGAGCCCAAACTAGTAAATATGCAGTAGAAAGGAAACGGAGCCCTGGCTGGGTGGCTTAGTTGGTTAGAGCCGTCCCAATATGCCAAGGCTGTGGGTTCAGTCCCTGGCCAGGGCACATACAAGAATCAACCAATGAATGCATAAATTAGTGGAAACAAATTGATGTTTCTCTCTCTCACAAATCAATTGGGAAAAAAATTCTCTAAAAAATAATAATAATAAAGGAAAAGGAGATGGCAGATGAAGTACCACCATAATGGGAAGTGGCATCCACTAACCTCAATTAGCCCTCTGCTTTTGCCAACTTAAGTGAACCCTACCTTCCATTTTCCTCTACACACTCACACAGACATTCCAAATGTGTGGGGTTTTCCCACCAACCAACTCTGCAACACCACCTGGGAGTCCTACAGTTCAATTAAGTTCTGACACTATCCACTTGGGAGTTAGTATCGATCCCACATGTTAATGGTTGAGTTCCACAAGACTGCCCACCCCACCCGACCCCTTCAGATTCCTGTGCTTCTGACCAAGCCAACCGGCTATACATTGGAGGTTCCAATGATGCCTCCTCAGGTTTGATTAAATGCTAGAACAACTCACAAAACTCAAGAAAACATTTCACTTACCAGATTAAAGATTTACTATAAAAGGATATGACTCAGGAATGGCCAGATGGAAGAAATGCGTAAGGGAAGGTACCTGGGAAGGGGAGAGGAGCTTCCAAGCCCTTTCTGGACATGCCACGCTCCGGGCATGTCTGCATGCTCACCACCCCAGAAGCTCTCCAAACCTCTCAGAAGCTTCATTAAGGAGGCATACAGGCCATTAATGATCAAGTCAATCTCTAGCCCCTCTTCCTTCCCTGGAGGTCAGGGGATAGGGCTGAAAGGTCAACCTTCTTAGCACATGGTTGGTTCCCATGGCAACCAGTCCCCATCCCTGGGAATTTCCTAAAGGTCACCTCACTGACATCAGCTTGGGTGTGGCTGACAGACACTCCTGTCATCTTTCACACTCTGGAGCTCCTTGAGGACAAAAGACCAACGATTTTGGCAAAAGATCCTCTCTGGCTTTTAGGAGCTATGTGCCAGGACTATAGACATACTCTCTTAAAAGTCCCAATGATCACAGATGTCCTTCCTTCTTCCTCTTTAGTGCTCTTCATGGCCTACCTCCATACCCTTCACCTGGGCCCTGAAAGGTGACACCTCAGCTCCCAGCTGTATCCGACATTTGTATAAAGTTATGGAGCTAAAAGAAGGACCCTCAGAGGCAACCTAGTCCTTTGACTCATAAGAAAATGAGGCCAAAGATCACACAGCGCCAGCCGGCTGCGCCCTGCCCAGCCACGTGCTGCAGCCTTTGCCTTCGGAAGTGCAGCGTCACAGCAGGGCCCGCGCCCCCACGGCCCCTCCGGATGGTTCCAGCTGCCGCCCTTTCCCTCCCGCTCCAGCTCCTACTCACCTACCAACTCTCGGGTCACAGGTTCTTTCAAAGCCCAAGGCCCTTTCCGACACCCCAGGGCGGGAGTAGGAGCTCTGTGTCCGCACAGCTTCCCGCACCTCCCTCACCACGGGGCCTACAAGCTTCCACTTAACGCGGCTGCGACCACCTGCGCGTGACAACGAGCACCGCCCGGCGAGGACCGAGGTCTGCCTCGAGGCTCGCTGGGCCTCCCGCCCCCGGCGCAGAAAACGTCACCGCATGCAGGAGAGCCACCCTCTTCGCTCACCCCTGAAGCCCCTCCGCAGAAGCAGGGAGAGCCACTGCCCTCCAGGCCTCAGCAGTCAGAGTGCAGGGGCCCGAGGTCGCATGGCCGCCTCGGCAGAGGCGCAGGGCTGGGCGGGCAGGGAGCGCCCTCCGACTCGGCCCTCCGCTGACCTGCGGCTGCTGTGACCTTGGGGGCAGTCCTGACGCCGCACCCAACTCCCCGTTTCCGTCTGGAAACCGGGATAGCTCTGCTTCCCTAGCCGAGAAGAGAGCACACCCTTCCGGAAACACCGCCCTGCCCCAGGCCAACTCCTGGCTCCTGCCCTGAAGGGACGTGAGCGATGCGCACCCTCGGGGTCCCGGCCCTCGTCTGGGGCCCTCGCGGTCTAACAGGGCCGACGGCCCAGGACCCCCGCGAGCTTGAGCCCGGCCTCGGGGCCCCGCCCGCCAGAGCCTCTCAGCCCACCTACGCCCGCTCGGCCCCTGGCCAAAGGGGGACGTGCCCTGGCCTCCCTTACCCGCCGGGGGAGCGTAGGCCCGGAATGGGAACGGGATGTTTGCCCCCTTCCCCACGGAGGCCGTGGGACCACCGGAGGGTCGGTTCAGGAGACGGCGCCATCCATCCCGCAGGCAGAGGCAGCTCCTCCACATCGCGCCGGAGCTCATGGGGGCACAACTGGTGCGAAATCTGAGAGCAGGAAACAGAGCGAAAGGATCCGCAAGCTGCACGCTCTGGCTGTTCGGAAACCTCCCTCCGCCTCCTCAGAGCCCTCAGACTCCCGTGGACGCCGCCATTTTCCGCAGGTCGCGGGCGCCGCGCCGTCACTCCCGAGCGCCTGCCGCGCACGCCCGCAGTCAATCAGCAGCACGAAAGCACCTTGCCCCACCCCCTTCGAGCCGCGCTCTGGAAGAAGACTACAAGTCCCAGAGGGCGCCTCGCACACCGCATCACGTGTTCTCTTTGCTCACCAATGGGTGGAAGCACCGCCTCAGCCTGCTCCCGCCCCCCAGGCGCTACCGGGCCAATCGGGAGGGGTGGTGTGTTTGTGTGTGTGTGAGTGTGTGTGTGTGTGTGTGTGTGTGTGTGTGTGTGTGTGTGAGAGTGTGTGTGTGAGTATGTGAGTGAGTGTGTGTGTGCGTGCGCGCGCACGAGCGCGCGCGCAAGTGGGGAAAGGGGACTCAACTCCAGACCGGCGGGCCCCGCTCACAGGTCCCGGGGTCCCGGTGGCGGTCGGAGCGGTTGGTCCGCAGGCCGCGGGCGGGTGGTGCGCCGCTCCCGCCCCGAGCCAGCGCGTGCGCGCCCGGCCCCTCCCTCCCCGCCGCTCTCCTCGGCTCCCGCGCGGCGGCGGCGGTTCCTCTCCCCTCCCCCAGCCCTGGCTCCGGGGGACCCCGCGATGCCGGTCCGCACTGAGTGTCCCCCGCCGGCCGGTGCCTCGGTCGCCTCCGCGGCCTCGCTCATCCCTCCGCCGCCCATCAACACGCAGCAGCCCGGCGTGGCCACCAGCCTGCTCTACAGCGGCTCCAAGTTCCGCGGCCACCAGAAGAGCAAGGGGAACTCGTACGACGTAGAGGTGGTGCTGCAGGTGAGCGCCGGCCGGCGGGCGGGCCCGAGGGCCTCCTCGCGGCGCTCACAGGCCGAGCCTGCCCGGCTCCTCGCCTCGAGCCCGCCGCCGGGACCAGGCCCTCGCCGCCGGGCCTCCTGCAGCGGCGCTTCACCCGGACGTGCCCAGCCGGCGCCTCGCACTGTCCCAGCCCGACCTGCCCCTCACCGGAGCCTGCGCGAGCCGCTCCCGGCAGCCCCGACCCTCCCACGGGCAGCCCGTGGCCAGCCCTGCGGGACCCGGAAGCCCCCGCGCCGGGCTCCCTCACACGCGGGCCCTCCGCCCCGGGACCTGTCGCCGCGATCAGCCCTCCCGGCAGCGCGCTCCTGGGGTCTCCTGACGGCACCCTCCCGGCCGGGCCTGTGCCGGCCTCCCCGGCCCGCGCCCTGCCCCCCCCCCCCCGGGGCCCGATGCCGGCCCCTCCGCCCCGTGTGAGCCCCCGCACCACCCGCAGCCCGGAGCCCACGGCCCACCGGCTCCCGGCTGTGGCCCGCGCCCAGGACGGACCCGCCTGCCGGTGCCGCTGGAGCTTCCTCAGCCGCTGGGCGCTGGCCCCTGCCCGCCCCGCTCGCCCGTCGCTTTCCGGCCCCGCAGGCCTCTGCCCCCCACCCAGACCGCCCACCTCCCACCTGTCTCCCTCTCCAGCTCCAGGGGGCCCTCTGCGGGTCCTTAACTTATCTCCGCCGCCAAGGCTTCCTCCAGCCCCCCCCCCCCCAATTTTAAATTAAAACTTTCTTGTTGAAAGTATTACGTGCTCCCCCCACCCCCCACCCCTAGCCTGCCCGCCCCCCATGTGGCCTGGATTTGTGAGCACCTGCTGTCAGCCCTGAGAGCTTTCAGCTACGGCTTCACCGCCGCCGTCCTCACCGCACCCCGCGCGATGGTGGTGCAGCTGGCATTCATGCCCAGCGAGGCGCTGGCTCTGGCTCTTACCCCTCTCCTCCCTTCCCTGTAAAAAGGCGCCTCCGCCGTGGCTACTGTTGCTTGCCGGAACCCTTTCCCCCTCACGCTGCCCCCTGTCCTTAGCCTGACACCCCACCTCTAAGGCTGTTTCCAAAAGCCCCTCCCGGCAGGTCTCCCTGCAAGTCTTCCCGAAGCTTTGAGGTCCTAGTGTGCTCCTCCCTGCTGCCATGTGTGAGGACAGAACGCAGGTCTTCGCCATACACTTGCCCTTTGCCCTTTTACATTTTAAATCTTAAACAGTCTCTCTTCTGAGCAAATAGGTCTCCCACCCAAAAGACAATGGGAGGAGTACATTTTCTTTCTGCTAACTAAGCATTCATCAGCCTCTTTCCTTACTGTTTTGTGGGAATCATTGCCCCCTTTTTTGGATTGGGAAAGCTGCATCTTTATGTTAATTGTATCTGTGAGCCATAAACTTAAAGTTCTATTATGAGCCATGAATTTATTGTAATCTCATAATTATGTACCTCCTGGTGATTGAAATGTAAGAATTTAGTATGAAGGTTTTTTGCAACTAATCATAAAATTCTGAAAGTGAGATCCCTGCTGTGGGTCATTTTTGGAATGATCTCGAATTTGTGTCCATTGTTTAATATAATGGTTTCTGATGTGATAGGGACCAATTGGCAGGGTAGCTAAGTGTCAAAGAGAAGTCGCTCTGGTTACTGCGGCAACACCTCTGCTGTCATTGGTGTGTGGTTTCTGGATTTCTGTCAGGTGCCAGTTTCCTTGTGAACCAGTGGAAGTGGTGATGGAGTTGGTACATGACTGATGGGTGATGGGGGGGGGGGGGGTCATGCCCAGAAATGCTGACCTCTGTCTGGATTGGTGAGCTGCTTGTCCATTACTGAGAGTCAGTGGCATGTGAATTGCCCCATCATCTGTTTTTAGAGCCAGAGCTAGTTTCTTAGAATACTGCTGCCTTTTAGAATGCATCCCCATTCCTCCTTGCTTTCTTTTTTTTCACAGCAGCTTTGTTTTTATTTATTTATTTTGTTAATTCTCACCCAAGGATATTTTTCTATTGATTTTTAGAGAGTGGAAAGAAAGGGGAGAGACACAGAGAGAGAAACATCAATGTGAGAGAGACACATCAATTGGTTGCCTCCTGCACACACCCCTGACCTGGGCACCGGGGATCGAGCCTGCAACCTAGAGATGTGCCCCTGATCAGAATCAAACCAGAGACCCTTCAGTCCAAGAGCTGACACTCTTATCTACTGAGCCAAACTGGCTAGGGCACAACAGCTTTATTTAGATACTAGAGGCCCGGTGCACGAAATATCCTGCACTGGCGGGGGAAGGGAAGGGGGGGGATGTCCCTCAGCCTGGCCTGCGCCCTCTCACAGTCTCACCACTCGGGGGTGTCCAACTGCCGGCTTAGGCCCTCTCACAGTCCAGGACCCCTTGCTCCTTACCGCCCGCCTGCAATAAGAAGCCAGGCTCACAGTGGCAGTAGTGGGAGCCTCTCCTGCCTCTGAGGCAGAGCTAAGGAGCAGCGAGCCCGGCTTCTGGCTGAGCAGCGCTCCCCCTGTGGGAACGCACTGACCACCAGGGGACAGCTCCTGCATTGAGCGTCTGCCCTCTGGTGGTCAGCGTGCGTCATAGTGACCGGTTGTTCTGCCATTCGGTCGATTTGCATATTAGAGTTAATATATAGGATAATTCACTTAGCATAAGAGTCACCCACTTGATGTGTACAATTCAATAGCTTTTAGTATATTCACAGAAGTTGTATATGTCACTGCAATCTAATTTTCATCATCTTGAAACCCCAAACCCCTTCCAACTCTAGGCAACCACTAATTTTTTTCTAAGATTTGCTTATTCTGGACATTTCATGTAAATGAAATTGTACAATATGCGACCTTTTGAGTCTAGCTTTTTCCACTGAGCCTGTTTTTAGGATTTACCCATATCCCAGCATGTGTCTGCCTCAATCCTTTTTATTGTTGCATAATACATTGTATGGGCATACAACATGTTACTTATCCACTGATCAGTTGAGGGGCATTTGGGTTGTTTCCCCTTTTTGGCTGTTACGAATAATGCTGCTGTGAGCATACATGTACAGGTTTTGTGTGGACATGTCTTTTCATTTCTCTTGGATAGATCCCTAGGAGTGGAATAGCTGGGTCACATGGTAACTCTGTTGAACATTTTGAGAAACTGCCAGACTGCTCCAGTGACTGCACCGTGTTACATTCCCACCAGCAGCATATGCGGGTGGCAGTGGCTCCACATCCTCACCAGCACTTGTGGTGTCCATCTTTTTTATTGTAGCCAACCTCGAGGGTGTGAAGTGGCATCATCATTGTGGTTTGGAGTTGCATTTCCCTGACGAATGATGATGTTGCTCAGCTCTGCCTGTGCTCTTTGGAGTGCTTTCTCTTTTTGAGTTCCAGTTTAAAGAGTTCCTCAAACTTTGTGAGATTCTGACTGGGGTGGTTGTTGTTGTTGTTTATCTCCTGCCATCTAAGAAGCCAAGAGTAAAGTGAGGGCCAGGGTCAGTGTGAGAGGAATATTTTAAAAAAGCAGCTGTTGGGTATAGCTGTGCTGTGAGACCTTGCTAAGCATTTGCCTTACTCTTCTCACTGAGATGCTGGCCTGTCCTTTGGTTAAAGCTCTCTACACTGGGTGCATTTGAGTTCACCACCCTTCACCACAATCAGCTTGGGCAAAATGGGAGAGACACATGGTTGAATGGAAGGCAAATTGAAATTCTGATTCTTGTGATAATCCTTGAAAAATGTTAGCCAATTTGTGGTGGTTTAAGTTTTAATCTTATTAGCAAGTATCTCTGCCACCTGATATCCTTCCAGCAGCTGTGAAACCCCAAACTATATTGAATTCGGTGAGAATTGCATACATGAAATTTAAGGCCTCGGTTTAGTTGTGTATCTTTTAATAAAAGTTCTGTGCAGAACCACATTAGTGCGGATCAGCTGCTTCAGTAACATCCAGGGCCAGCAGATGGGACATTTAAAATGCTCTGGCAGTTTTCACATGGAATACTTTGGTCACCAGCTCCAAACTGGGAGCACTTTAGTTTCACTGAAGCCCATTTGCTTTGGTGCTGACCTCATCTGGCTGAGTGAGTTCATTACAGTTTTTGAGGATCGCCTTAGTATTTGATTTACTATGTAATTGGAAGTAGTTGAGTCCCCAAATCTGATAAATTCCACAAAACTTTTCTAGTGTCTTAAAATGAGAACTCATTTCACATTAAAATGTCAATGTGCTACAGCACCATTGTACTTTATTTTGCTTTAATTCCAGGGTTTTACTTTGTAAATTAATCCAATTGTCATAAAATCTGAAAAATCTGCCTATTCGGGATGACTCTGTATAGATTGAGGTAAGATGCACTAGTTAGTATGCATCCAGCTGCAAGTAACCATTTCAGAGTAGCTTAGAGAAAAGGGGACCCATTATCTCACATCACAAGAAATTGAGAGGTGGCTTGGTTCCCGATTGGCTCATTCAGGGGCCCATTTCTTTTTGTCTTTCCATGCTGCCATCCTTGGCATTTCCCAGCCTGTTTCTCCTCATAATATCTAGATGACTGCCCCGGGCCAGGCACTGCATGCAGATACTGCCACCACAAGGGGGAGAAAAGAGCCTCTCCAGCAGCCAGAGTATCTCCCAGCTGCACCCAGGAGACATGCACACATCCAGTGGCCAGAACTGAGTCACTCACCCGTAAACCGACAGCTCACAGGGGCTGGGGCACATGTTTGCCTTGGAGCCATCAGGGGTTAGCAGGTCTTGCAGGGCCAGGGTTGGTGCCAGTACAGGATCTGGGTCCTGCCAGTGTGGAAAAGTAGGAAATTGTTTGTTGGGTGGCTGCTAAACCTTAAAATCTACACCTGTTACTCCTATTTATTTTAGGCCAGCCGTGGGCAAACTGCGGCCCGCTGGCCGGATCCGGCCCATTTGAAATGAATAAAACTAAAAAAAAAAAGACCGTACCCTTTTATGTAATGATGTTTACTTTGAATTTATATTAGTTCATACAAACACTCCATCCATGCTTTTGTTCCGGCCCTCCAGTCCAGTTTAAGAACCCATTGTGGCCCTCGAGTCAAAAAGTTTGCCCACCCCTGGTTTAGGCTCTTCTCTTCAAGAAATACAGGCAGCTGTGCATGCAGAGAGCAGAGCGGCATGCACGGTGTATTCTGATTTGGGGTGTAACAAATTTATACCACGAGTCTTTGAAAGATGCCTTCCCTGACTATTCTGCCCATTTCATAAATAATGCAAGATATGCTTAATGTAAATACAGTGGACTTGTTAGACCAGTGACTGAGCAGCATGGAGGCAAAAATAGGCCAAAAAAGCATTAGAAAGCAGATGAAGCCCAGGTTAGGAATGACACCATGTGTACAGGTAGAAAGGGAGGCCTACTGGCCAGGGATGCACAAAATCTGTAGTCAGAAGGGAGCCTGGAATTGAAGACAGTACAGAGATGGGGCTGGAGCGAGCTGCTAGTCCAGAAGAGGACTTTGGTCTCATGCTACTCAGCCGAACGAAGCTGAGCTTCATCTGAATCATCTGCGTCTTCTCGTGGGTGGAGAAGACTCACACAGCTGACCCTGGCTGCATGGGGTGGGCCCTGGTCTGCAGGTCTCCCTTCCTCGACTTCGTCTCAAGGATGATCACTGGGAAGTGACTCCTGCTTGTCTCCCGGTGGCTCCTCCGTTTGTAACAAGGCTGTGTGTCCTTTCTTTCCAGCACGTGGACACGGGGAACTCTTACCTTTGTGGGTACCTGAAGATTAAAGGCCTTACTGAGGTAAGCACTCACTCGCACGGACTAGGAAGCGGGCTGCGCTCGGCAGTCTCAGAGTGTGAATGGCAGGCAGCTGCGTCTCTGAGGCTGGATGAAAGTGCCCTGTTTCTGAGTGTTGTTACACTATAGGTAGCATAAAGCATGCAACCTTCATGTGTCCTGTTGGAAGGTATGCAGATTCACAAATCTTCAAAGTTTATAAATAAGTCACAATGTGACTAATACTATTGATTTCATTTTTATCATTTTTGAGAAAGTAATATGTAGTAAGAATATAGCTATCACCCTCGTAAGTTTAACAATTTCTGAAATAAGCATCAATCCTTTGAGAGTTCTTGAAGTTCTTTCAACCCCTTAGTTCACTGGAACAATGGAAAGTGGTCATCCATTTCCTAACAGAAATTAGCTTCTATATCATTGTAGACTGTTGTGTTTTCTTTGAACCAATTTTGTAAACCTCGAAACTCCTGGAAATATAGGAAGCAAGAAAGAGCATCCTTCCTTTTCCCACTAGTAAGTGCACAGGAAGAGGAAGGAGGTAACTGGACTGGCCACCTCACTCCACCGTGAAGGCCGGGGCTTGGCCTGGCTGCGTGTGCTGTGCACCTGCCCAGCTCTCACTGTCCGGACGCCGGGGGGGTTGGAGATGCTGTGGAAAGGAGCTGGATGACTTTCTCGTAGTGTCCCTTACTGGTCCCATGACGTTTAATTTCCCTTCAGTTTATTCATGTATAAAGTAAGAATTAAAAATACCTGCTCTGCCTAGTCAAGGAGCTTGTCCTAGTGAGGAGGAAGCAATGTAACATAAGTGGTAGATTATAATGGAATACAATATGGAATACTAATAAGGCGTGATGACCCCTTAGTCTCAAAACAATTGTTTGTCTCCTTGATGCCATCTGGTTCTCCTCTTCTGTATTAGAAATTTGGTTGAGCCCTAGCTGGTTTGACTCAGTGAATAGTGTCGGCCTGTGGACTGAAGAGTCCTGGGATCGATTCTGGTCAGGGGCACCTGCCCCGGTTTCAGGCTCCATCCCCAGTGGAAGGCATGCGGGAGGCAGCCAATCAATGATTCTCTCTCATCATTGATGTTTCTCTCTCTCTCTCTCTTTCTAACTCTCCCTTCCTCTCTGAAATCAATTTTAAAAATATTAAAAAGAGCCGAAACCAGTTTGGCTCAGTGGATAGAGCGTCGGCCTGCGGACTGAAAGGTCCCAGGTTCGATTCCAGTCAAGGGCATGTACCTGGGTTGCGGGCATATCCCCAGTAGGAGATGTGCAGGAGGCAGCTGATCGATGTTTCTCTCTCATCGATGTTTCTAACTCTCTCTCTCTCTCCCTTCCTCTCTGTAAAAAATCAATAAAATATATTTTTAAAAAAATATATTAAAAAAAAGAAAGAGCCCTAACGGTTTTGCTCAGTGGATAGAGCATTGGCCTGCGGACTGAAGGGTCCCAGGTTCAATTCCTGTCGAGGGCATGTACCTTGGTTACAGGCACATCCCCAGTAGGGGGTGTGCAGGAGGCAGCTGATCGATGTTTCTCTCTCATCAATGTTTCTGACTCTCTATCCTTCTCCCTTCCTCTCTGTAAAAAAATCAATAAAATATATTAAAAAGAAAGGAAGGAGGGAGGAAGGGAGGGAGGGAAGGAATTTGGTTAAGCCCTGGCTGGTGTGAGTGTCGGCCCTCCCATCAAAGTGCCATGGGTTCGAACCTGTGTTGCAAGTTCAATCTCCCGCCCTGGTCGGGTGCATGCAGGAGGCAACTGATCTCTCTGTCTCTTCCTCTTCCTCTTCCTTGCCCTCCCTCTCATCCACTCTCTAAAAATAAATGGAAAAAATATCCTCTGATGGGGATTAACAAAATAAACAAAAAAGAAGTGTGGCTGAGAATTTCCTGTGAAGTTTGTTATTGAGATGAAAAGGTACTCTCTTCATCCCCTTTGGAAACGCATCCAGTCAAGCAGAGATAGGAAATGATAGGAAAATGAAGGATGCTAACCTTTGAATCTGTGGTAGCAGAAAACATAGTAAACAGAGTATGTTCACTCTTAGACAGCCAAATTAATTGAGTGCAGAACATCAACATTTAACTTCAGAAGGAAACCAGGGACGTTTGTAATGTAGAATATTTACTGCTGCTTCTAAAAATCAGTCATTTTAGTGATAGAAAGCCGCACAGAAATGCTAAGTAGCATTAACAATCCCCAAACAATGTACAGAAATGCAATGAACTTTCAGGAACAGTAACCCTAGTGAAGGGGGCACCTCTGAGGCGTGAGCACTCACCAAGGAGGCTGCCGGGTGGCCTCCCTTGGGGCCAGCCCAGGGCAGCCCAGCTTTGTGGCTGGGACTTGGAGATCACCCTCCTGGGTGGTCCTTCCGGCCTGCCCCGGGGGTGGTGGACTCAGAGATGGCGCTGGGATGGCATTCAGTCAGAGGTTTCTAAGTCACACTCCATTTCAGGATTTTTTGAATTCACCTTTTTTAAAAACATTTTTTAGTAACTTTACTGAGATACAGTTTATATACCATACACTTTACCCATTTAAAATGTACTATTCACTGGCTCTTACTATAGGCATGGTGTTGTGCAATGTCTTAATAACTTTAAAATTATAAATTTAATACATAGTCACTATAGATAATTAGTAAAATGTAGAAAGGGTGACAATTCCTAGAATATTTTATACCTGTATTATGAAATGCAGTTATCCATTTTTGTTTGCTTTTCCATTTATAGCTGTGAATAGAACTATTTAAATGGCTTGATTTTTAGTTAGAGTCCTCCTTGTATTTACAATATGGAACTGTTAAATTGGCGGTAATTGCCTCTTTGCTAGCTTACGTTCACAAACAAGCACAGCTTTAAAGGTTGTGTACCTCTGGAAATGAAACCCCAGAATTGTGCAGAATGGGTGTCAAATAACATTCTCTTTGCAACTCTGACTCAGCAGTAGGGAGAAGGATCGTCCCTGGGGAGGCAGCTGGCAGGCAGCTGGCAGCTGGCACAGGCCAGGACGAGCCACACTGGGGGAGTCACTCAGACACTTCGCTCATTCACTAGACCAGGTTGGAAGGCTAGGAAGCTCCCACTGAGGTGGTGCTAAACTCACTGGGCAAAGGGGGAGAGGTCGCACTGACCACCCTCGCAGAGACCATGTGTGACAGTGCTGGTTCACACACATCAGGCCCATGCATGTTCAGGAACCAGGGAAGAGGTCACACTGACCATTCTCGCAGAGACCGTATGTGACAGTGCTGGTTTACACACATCAGACCCATGCATGTTCAGGAACCAGGGGAGAGGTCACACTGACCATCCTCGCAGAGACCATATGTGACAGTGCTGGTTTACACACATCAGGCCCATGCATGTTCAGGAACCAGGGGAGAGGTCACACTGACCGCCCTCGTAGAGACCGTATGTGACAGTGCTGGTCCGTGTACTTAACAAGGAGGCATATGCAAGTTCTGGAGTTTTCCTTTGGCTTACTGGCTAGTTGAATGTTGATTCCCCAGAAGGTGGGTGGGTCTACATGGAAAGCCAGACCTGTCAGCAGACTGTGTTTGGTGAGCCTGGAATCAGTGAGCGGGTCGATTGTAGAACTTACTGTCTGGCCACCCCCCACCCACCACAAGAAGCAGGCACCTGCTCGGAGCGTCGGGGTTGGTGCTGGTTCTGCCACTCTGACCGGTTTTCTGATATTCCTGCTTTCCTTCTGCTGACAGTTTTTCTTTGGCTCTATGAATTACCACCAATTTGGCTGTATTCAGGTGCTTGCGTTTCCTGTTCCTTCACTAAGAGATATTTTTGGTAACTTCTGTACATATTGTCATTCACTATGTATTTTATTTACTTCTATGAGTTTTGGGGTACCTTATAGTCCTGGTATACTGCCTAAAGTATTTTAGGGAGAAGTCAGTGCAGAATCATTCATTAGGAAAATGTAATTTGAACCATATGAATATTTTTTGCATTAAGTAGGACCACTTTATCATTTTTTTCTGTCTCTTCTAAGGAAGTTTTAAAAAATATATTAAAGTTTGAAACTCAGAAAATTATAGTTATGAGTATGCAAAACACAGTTTATTCTTTTTTTTAATATGTTTTAATGATTTTTAGAGGGAGAGAGAGAAAAAAACATTGATGTGAGAGAGAAACATTGATCGGCTGCCTCCTGTACATAATACGACCAGGAATCGAACCCACAACCCAGGTATGTGCCGTGACTGGGAATCAACCAACAACCTTTCAGTGCATGGGACAGTGATCAACCATCTGAGCCACCCAGCCAGGCTTCAGAGTTTATTCTTGTATTATTATTTATTATATAGCTTAGTTTAAAATCTCAAGTCAGATGCTAACTTTTTCTCCTTAGTATTCTTTCCTAAAACAGATAAGTGTAATTTAGGTTTTACCTTTAAAATGAGGTTTCCATTTATTCCAGTTTCTTTCTTCACTTTGTTTATATAAATATCTGCATGGAGAACCCAGCAGCATGGTTGGGTGAGGGAATTGTGGTTTGGGGGTGTTAAATTTCTGCTTTTTGGAAGTTTACTGCTGAGAACAGTATGCCGTGCAGCAGGCCGCAGCCGTGCAGCAGGCCGCAGCCATGGCAGCATGGCGGCGATGCCGTCTCCAGGCCACCACTGGGTCTGTGGGCAGCATCTCTCAGGACGGCCCTGCGCTGCGTGGCAAGTCGAGCTGGGAGAAGAGGCAAAGCCGTCAGAACAGATTTACTTTAAATCTGTATGGGTGTTTGCTGCAGAGCCAGAGGGTCCCACATGGGGTCTGAAGAAGAAAGCAGGACCGCTGGCCCCGGGAGGGGGCTGTGAACTGGTTCGCAGAGCTCTGTCACCACCGGGCTCCCAAGAAACAGCGGCCAGCAGGCTGGGCAGAGGCGTGGGTGGGTGGGTTTTTTACAAATGCAGAGAAATGGTAGACTTTTTACTGTGTCACTTTTTCTTCCATTGATTTGGTGCCTCATTAGCCAGTGAACAATAGCAGTAAAATGAGCAGGAGCATCTAAGCACTCGGGCAGGGACACCACTTATTTTTTCCAGCAGAATTGTTTTCTGGTTGTGATTTTCCACTGCAGACCTAATTTACATATATTTCCTCGTATAAATCATCTTTGTTTATATGATGATAGAATTAAATGTATCTAGTATATCAAAGTATTCTACAAAAAAATTCACCCCTAGAAAACTGAAGAATTGGCATAAAAGGGACAAAACACTGAACCAGTGGGCGAGGTTTCAGCTTGAGGGAGACAGCTGTGAAGGCTCTAATTTTGGAGGCTCTTTCGGTGTTTTCCTTGGAAAGTGCAGTCTACTTAGTTACCATCTTCTTTGTCCGCTGGAGTATTCAGAACTCACTTGTGAGAATCGTCCAGATTCCTTGTTGAGCAATCAACACATAAGGGAAGTCACAGAAGGGCTCTCTGATCCAGCAAAGCCCGAAGCCCGGGGCTCCCCACCTCGGCCCCTCCATTCCGGTGTCCACAGCATCAGCAGACCACCAGCCGAACTCTGCTTATTGTTGGTTAGCGGTGGGATCATTTTTTTGGAAGTACGAGGAAGAAGTGAAATTGAGGCTAATTTTCCTTTGTAAAGGTTAAAATTCCTGTTTGACATCTTGTTTTTGATGTTTGGGTTTTGACCATAGGAGTACCCAACCCTTACGACCTTCTTTGAAGGAGAAATAATCAGCCAAAAACACCCTTTCTTAACTCGAAAGTGGGATGCGGATGAAGATGTTGATCGGAAACATTGGGTGAGTCAGTCTCTGATTGCCCTGGGCCACCAAGGAGAGTCCAGAAACATGGTGCTCAGGGTCTTATCACGTCTCCCTGTCCTTTCCGTTTGTCCACCTTCCTGTCCACGGTTCCTTTCTCACCTGCTGTCCTTGGGGGGAAATCCTGTGAAAGGTACAGTGATGGCCTCTGACTCAGGGGATGAGGTGGAGATGCAGTTCCTGAACAGCTGCTCCTCCCCTTGGCCACACCACAGGGGGCTCTTCTCACCCAGCTCCTGGCAGACAGGCACAGTCTCCGCCCTGCAGCTGTCAGCTGTGGACATGCTCTCGCTGTCTCTTTTTTTTTTTTTTTAATAAAGTTTTATTGATTTTAGAGAGGAAGGGAGAGGGAAAGACAGACAGAAACATCAATGATGAGAGAGAATCATGGATCGGCTGCCTCCTGCACGACCTCCACTGGGGATCGAGCCCGCACCCCAGGCCTGTGCCTTTGACTGGAATCGAAACCGGGACCCTTCAGTCCACAGGCTGAGGCTCTGTCCTCTGAGCCAAACCAGCCAGGGCGGCATGCTCCATTCAGCAGCAGTGAGCAGCGTAGAGTTCCTGTCCTCCAATCTTTCCTTCAGTTATCACACACATCCATTTCTCAGCCTGTTGTCATAGCCTTTTGGCTTAGTTGACCATGGCAACGATGAATTTTGGGTTAACACTGAGCAAGTCTGTTGTGTTCACCCTCTAAGCCAACCAGAAATGACTGCTTGTGTTGGTAAGGAAGATTCTAAGACTCTCTCCTGAATCTGGCCCAACCGGCCTTGCCGAAGACTCCTACTGCAGACCCTCGTCTGGGTTAGTCATTCATTTCTCTATAATATGAGAAAATGAACAAGATTTGAGTATCCAAAAGGTTGGGGGCCAATGGTGCCAGTGTCAGAAAGAAGTGTTGGAGGGCTCTTTGGCACCACCTGGTCCCCCCGCCCCATGCTGGCTCTTTGTGTACGGCATGCCACCTTGTGAGGGGGCCCCTTCCTCTCCTGGGCAGCGCAGTGGCAGAGTTCTTCCTTGTCATGAACCACAGTTTGTCTCCCATTCAGCTTCGTTTTCCATCTCGGATTGGTTCTGCGGAAAGCAAGGTCTTTGGGGCCCAGGGAAGCCTTAGTTTTAGGCTGGATTGGTTGCACATTAAATACCTGCAAAGCAGCTCTTATTCCCCATTGCCTTCCCATTAGGACCTTGGAAAGCATCTGGGACTCCAGCCTCTGTTAGGCTAGCTTGAAACATTTTGGGTGAAAGAGGGATGGAGAAGGCCACCCTGGCACTGGTGTGCAGGCACGGGAAGATGATGGCGGGACCTGCAGGCTGCAGCCCACAGCATTTCCCATGGCTTTCCCAGCCCACGGGAACTCTCAGGCCCCGCAGAGCCTCCCGGAGGCCTGTGTTGTGCCTTTGTTTGTCAGGGATTAATAGTGTCTGATACACCTCACCCCTCATGTCCTTTTTCCATTGTGAACTGGAATCAGAAACATTGTTTTGCACCCTCAGATTTTCCTGAGCGGTATTTTAAGTTGGTATTACAATGGGACTGACTACAAAGTCACGGTTCCATATACTTCACCTGTGTAACAAACTCTGTGACTTAACCCTTTTCGGTCCAATGTGGAGGCTGACTCGACAGACCAGGTGCTAGGAGGAGGTCCAACGTCGAGGCTGAGGTCGACACTGCAGACCGGTTAAACATTCAATCCTGTCAATTAATTTGGACCAGACTGTTGGAATTCCAAAAATAAAATTGGACCGCAAAGGGTTAATGTCTCTATAGTCTCATTTTTTAAGATGTTTTCTTGTAGAATCTATACATTTTTGTTTTTAAAATATTTTTAAAAATGGAAAAGCAAAAGGGGAAAAAATTGTCTATAAGGACAATACCTAAAGCTAAAACAGGTATGAACCTTTTCCTGAATCTCATTTGAATATCTATACTTTTTTTATAAAACTGAGATCATAAGATACAGTTTTGTAACCTATTTTAGTCTCCTTTTTTAAACGTAACCATACACTGCCCTATCCAGTCTCTGTGCACGCGTCGGCCGGCCCTCTCCTGGTTGCCTGCCTGCCTCAGGCTGCAGAGATCTTTCCACTGCTTCCGGCTTTGTCTGCAGTGACGTGTTCTGGGAACAGGCTCCTGGGTTGTGTGTTTCCATCCTGCCGCTTCCTCAGGCCGAGGTCCCTGAGCGGGCTGTGCCGGTTCCGTCCGGAGGCCAGGCCTGATCAGTGGAGCGACCAAAGACTCCTCTCCCAGTGCTCAGCCGCCGCTGCTCTTGGTGGTGCCACTACCTGCTGTGGGGCCCTTGAGAGGGCGATTGCACCTGGCAGGAGGGCAGCCCTGACCCCAGCCTCCTCTTACCCTAGTCTCTTCCTCTCATGTTTGCTTTCAGGGCAAGTTCCTGGCTTTTTATCAGTATGCAAAATCCTTTAATTCAGATGACTTTGATTATGAAGAGCTGAAGAATGGGGATTATGTCTTCATGCGGTGGAAGGTAAGCCCCTGCAGGCGGCTCTCCAACTGTGCGGCTCCTGTAGGGAACCCCCATCTGCTCCCGTGTCCAGTGCTTTTTACAGTTTTGTCTTCTTGGCCGGGTCTCTACACACTCATGAGAGGCAGGCACAGCTCCGAGGCACACCGGTTCACAGCTGACACCGCACGGGTGTGCTCTGGTTAAGCTGTGCAGTGTAGCAGTGAATTCACCCCGACACTGATGCTCATGTCCTCTCCCTCCTTTCTCCCCCCAGGAATCCCTGGGGCCCTCCAAGTTGAATCAGCCTTAGTGTTCTGTGGGTTCAGGGGAGAGCCTAATGCTCTTTAAACGTAGTCATTGTCCATCGCCTCTTCTCAGCCATGGGCTGTCATGCCATGTCAGTGACTGCTCCGTCACCATGGCTTGTGCAGGGCTCACCCAGCGCAGTTCAGCTCCGCTGGTTCCCTCCAGCTCAGGAAATGAGGGACCAGGAATGGAATTCAGGTTTTCCACTCACCAGCCCGAGAACTCTGCCAGGGGGGTGGACTCTGTGGATTGGCTTTGGGCAGAGAAGTCACATGTGCTCTCTGCTTTGGTAGCATGATAACTGCTGTGTAATGGCCATAGGACAGCAAAACCATGGAGCAAGTTTGTAAGTCACTTTGTGAACATACACCTCCCTCCAAGCCCTACTCCCCAGTCTAAAGGAAACAGCTGTTTTACTATGAAATTTTATTGGCTTTCACATGCACAAAACATGGAGAGTAGTCATTCCTAGCCTTTACTTTGTACAGTTAATCGTTTGGGGGATGGAGATCATTACCCTTTCAGGAGAGTTGCCATGTACTGAGCCCTGCCCTCGTGAGCTTGCCATCTACTGGAGATAAGCCATCTAAATAACACATTAAAAGAAGTATCTTGTATGGTTCTAATTTTAAAGTTAATTTTTAAAATTGCAATTTCAGAGCTTGAGGAAAGATCAAAAAAGCAATGGTTGTGCTTTCTGCAAAGAATTTCTCAGGGTGACTCACCAGAGGCTTTTATACCTCCCCGGGCCCTGACCTCTGACCTTGTCTCCCCGGAAGAGTAGGTAATAGGATGCAGCCTTTCCACTCTTGGCTCCAACCAGAGATAAAAGCTTACCTTTTGCAAGTGCCTGGCCAAGAACAGGAACGTTCTGGTTGCTTTTGATGAGGTGTAGACCTTTTGAAAGGGGTATTACAAGGGCTACTGATGACTGAGCTGCCCTCAGAGTGATCCACAGGCCATAGAAGTGACCCACTGTTCTAGAGACGATCAGGAACTAGTGACAGTCCCTGAAGTGGAGCACAGACTTGCTCCGCAGGTCGTCCTGCCTGTGAGCTCTGAAAGGTAGGTACTTAGATAGGTATTGATTCATTTACGAGATGTGTGGACCATGGCACCTTCTCTTGGTGCTGATCCTAGTGAGCTCCAGGCACAGCCTTCTGTAGCAGTAAGTAGGATGCTCGAATGGCCTACGAACGCTGTTCACAAGGTGGGAGCAAATGCACCTCCGGGCTAGACCATGTGACGGTGGAGCCTTAGAGCCGTCTGATGGCTAACAGGAGGCTCCAGAGCTGCGAGGAGGATGCTGTTACTGACCTTCCCCATCTGCGTGCAGGAACAGTTCCTGGTCCCAGACCACACAATCAAAGACATCAGTGGTGCTTCCTTTGCCGGGTTCTACTACATCTGCTTCCAGAAGTCGGCAGCCTCCATAGAGGGCTACTATTACCATAGGAGCTCAGAATGGTAAGGAGGCCCCGAGCCCCCCCGGCTCTCACTGGGCTCACCAAATCCCAAAGGAGACCTGTGCCGGTCTCTGCGTGAATGCCATGCTGTGTGGATGCTGGGGGCCTCTTTAGAAGGTCTCAGCTGCTCACACTGGCGCTCATCCCCATCCACAGAGCTGAGTGAACGGGACGGAAACAGCACGAGGTGAAAGCACTCAGAGAGTGCGTGCCGGCACTACTGTGTGTTCAATGTTTATCTCAGTCTTGCTGGGTTTGTACTTATTCCTCCCAAATTTAATCAGCAACGAAAATGTCAGATCCAGCTGCAGACTGAATTTTGCTGTCAGCAGTCTTTTTAATTTTGTTGGTCACATTCCTGGTCACAGGAATTTGCAGGTCCCTGTGCACTTGATTTTAGCCTGGTGACCGAGGGGCCTGTGGGAGTTGACAGTCCTGCCCTGTGTTTGGTTTGAGGTAAACGACCCAATGCCACTGCAAGTGCTCGTTTTTGACACCTTTTTGAGGACTCTCCTGCCTCCTTGCTGCTTTTTAAGGATCTTGTTATACCTGAAGGGCGAACCATTTCATAAAATACCTGATTTCTTCTCTGAATATAGAATGACCTTATTTCCTTTCCAAATTTTCACACTTCGGTGACTTGTGGGTGACCCTACCCTGGGTTGACTCAACTATTTTGTTCAGTGCCCTTGGGCTCAGGGTGGTCCCAGCTCCTCTGAGAGCCACAGTTATTAGGATTTCAATAAATTGTTTTCAAAAGGAGTTTTTAAAACTTTTCATTATTCTTTTTCAAATAATAGCTTTATTGAGATATAAATCATAAAGCATACAGTGCAGTGAGTGGCCTTTAGTATATTAAGAGTTGTGCAACCATCACCACCATCAATTTTAGAACATTTTTATCACCACAGGAAGAAACCCTGTGCTCCCTCAGCTATCAGTCCAACACCCCATCCCATCCCAGCCTCGGGCAACCACTGACCTGCTTTCTATTTCTACAGATTTGCCGTTCTCGGTATTTTATAGAAGTGGGATCAGACACTGTGTGGCCTTTGCGCCTGGCTTCTTTCACTTAGCGTAATGGCCTGGAGGTTCAGCCACTCTGAGGCGTGTATTAGTACTTCATATGTATTGCTGAGTGGTTTTCATTGTAAGGATATAGACCACATTTGTTTGTCTATTCATCCCTTGATAGACACTTGTGCTGCTTTCACCTTTGGCCACGGTGACTAATTCTGCCCTGAACATGGATGCACAAGAATCTGTTTGAGTTCTTGCTTTCAATTCCTTTGGGCACACACCTAGGAGGAGAGTTGCTGGGTCATTTGGTAATTCTATTTTTAACTTTCTGAGGAGCCACCAAAAAGCAGCTGTGCCATTTTCCACAGCAGCTACACCATTTTGCATTTCCCATCAGCAATGCATGCTGGTCACAATTTTTCTACTTTCTCCGTATCCTCAGCAATACTTGTTATGATGGCTTATGATTACAGTACCCTCTGATGGCCAATGTATAATCCTTTCTTGATGATTTTCTGGGTAAGAAATAAACTGCTTCTTGCTGTGCTCCTCCTCTCTCTGTGTGAAACAAGTCAGGGGAGAGCTAGCACCACACCAGCACTCTAACTGCCCTGGGGGTCATCGCCCCTGTGTGGTCCTGGCCTCTTTCTCCTTTGCCTGCTGGGCTCCAGGAGCACCTGCCCACAGGGAAACACACGCCACCGTGGAGCTCTCTGAGGCTCTCGGTGTCCAACAGCCCTGTCTGGGGAGCGAGAGAATGAAAGTAGATGGTGAAGTTTTCTTTCCCGTGCTCTCTTTGGGTTCCAGGGAGTGGGGTGTGCCTGTGTTCCCAGGAGCTCTGAGGACATCATAGCCTGGCCTTCTAGAAGGAGCTGAGGTGCTGGACGTCCACGAGAGGCAGGATGAGCGGCAGGGAGAGAGGCAGGACTCCAGGCTGTTTTCTCTCAAAGCTACACAGCCTCTCCTTTTATAAGACCCACTAGCATTGCTTCATGATTAGAGCAGGAGGCCTAAACGTCTTACTCTATGCGTAACTCAGGAGGAATAGTAACGGAATAGAAGTAAATCACGCCTCGCTCACCTGAAGGCTGAGGTGGGTTTGCATCCCATGCGAGTGTGCGGCGTGTTGGGTGCTCGGTTGGGTGTTCACACATCCCTGTTCAGTGGTCAGGATGCTGAGACTGCTGCCTCCGTTTGTCTCCCTGCAGGTATCAGTCGCTCAACCTAACGCACGTTCCTGAACACAGCGCACCCATCTATGAATTCCGGTGACAGTGGTTCAGAACAGCAACCAAATAAAACTGAACTTGGCAAAAAAGAACTTTGCCAAGAAAATTGTGTGCTTGCCGGAACCAGGAGAACATGTGCCCGTTTCTTCATGGGCGACACGTCAGACAGCATGGATGTCAGCCCACGGGGCAGGCCGGCCACAGGCAGGGGTTGGCTCCATTCTCCTCCCTCTCTGTGGCAGTTTGCTCTTAACCTGTTCTTAAGCTACCTTATATGCACTTTCCTTCCTGCACAGCTAACTTCTGTGTCACTGAAATGCCCATCTTCTCTCCATCCTGCCTCCAGCCGAGTAGAAGGTCAGCCCCGTCACCCTCAGCCTTGGTGCTCAGTGGTCCTCACCAAGACCCCGCCCCCAGTTGCTTAAGTCTGGGTGCTCAAGAAAAGGCAGAGCCCAGCACTGGGTGCTGCCTGAGCTCCAAGCAGGGAGGGGGCGAGCTGCAGCGGCGTCCGCCAGCCAGAGAAACGCGCCCGAGTCCCCTGGCGCTGCCCAGCCACATGGGGTCTGCACCAAGCTGGCCGTGGCTGGCAGGCACCCGGGGCCGCCAGCAGGCGTCACTCAGTGTAAGGCTTCCAGGTCCGTGGCAGGAACAGATACCAGTCCTGCTTACTCAGCACATTTGCTCCAAACTTTTGAACTTGAGGGCAATACTAAACTTTTTTAAAAAGTTTTTTTTATTGCAAAATTATTTTTATGATCCCTTTAACAAGGACCTTATGGTAAAGGCACAATTATTCAGAATTACATTTTATTGTTTTCACATTGAAAACAGCAAATGTTGACTTAGTAATTTTTATACCTATATCTATATGTAAATGTATATTTAATCAACCAGCAGTTTGAAACTGGTTGTCCTGGTACAGAAGTTTTGCAGCATTGCATTAAGTATAATGCTAAACGTGAGGACTGCTTGGGGGGCCGGTTTAGCATTTGTAGCTCCTCCTCTTGCGACTCGGAACAGCAGTGCTTCATGGTGATCTCTCTCATCCACAGAAGGGCCTCATTCTCCTAACAGAGCGACTGAAATGTTGGGACGGGGAGGGGCAGGGACATGAAATGCTCAAGTAACTCAAGGCTCACGTGCCAAAGTAAGTGTGTGTGTGTGTGTGTGTGTGTGTGTGTGTGTGTTTTGTTTTGTTTTTGTTTAATGTTTTAAAAGCTCAATAGGTTGGCATCAGTTGCAGCCATAGCTGTGGGCAGGGCTTTGGGGGGATTGGCACCTTCCAGTGGTTTACAAGGCTCAGAGTGCAAGAGCGCAGGCTCCCACTGCGCACCGTGGGAGGAGCAGAGCACGCTGCCAGGCGCGCATCCCGGGCCATGAGGACTCAGGGCCCACGTGAATTCTGGGAGTCTTACTCAAGAGCCTTCCATGTCACCTCCGCTCTCCCCACAGCATGCTCCGAAGCATCACCTGCATTTTGCAAGCTCCTTGAAGGATACAGGCCTCACGCAGGGCACTGGGAGGTGAGGCCACCCTGCAGCTTTCGGAGCCTCTGCGTGGCTCGGAGAGGCCCGTGGGTTGGTGGGCTGGTTGCACAGCCAGGGAAGGACATTTGCAAACACCGATGGTGCTCAGCTAGCCAGGTGGGTTCTATGTAGGATTTCTTTCTTCCTTTTTTAGCCACATAATGAAGTGCCCCGGTTGTATTGGGGAAAATGAAGAAGTGATACCTTTCTTAGATCTTTCGGACACATCTGTGATGAAGATTTGTCCGCGTAAAACCTGCCCATTGAGGACAAGGAAGGGATTGTTTTCTGCCTCCTCTCAGTAACCCCTGTGCCATCCACATGGACTCCTTTTCTCTCGCTCATTCCCGAAGGCACTTTGGGGCTCATCTCCATCTGCAGTTACTCTTTCTGGAGCCTTCTCAGTGGTTTCGTGCCTCTGGTATGATGTGCAATATTTTTGTTGACACTTGTATTCGTCATTCAGAAGTTAGTGCAGATTGCAGATTTCCCACATCTTCCTCTGCCCCAAGCAAGCCTGCCGAGAGGCGTTCATTGCACTGCTCAGAAAGCGTCCCTCCTGTGGTCCCGGCCTGTTGCTCTGTTGTGCTGGAATTATCCTCCCGCCCTTCCCAGCTCCTTGGCTGCAGCCAGAAGCACCTCGCACTGCCCGGCCGGAGCAGGTGTCCGTCGGGAGCAGCGCTCTTTCTAGTGTGGAATTACAGACTCCAGGGGCTTTCAATGTCATCTGCTTCCAGAAACAGGGAATTTCTAGTCTCTTTAAGGCCTTGAATTGATTTTTTCCTCATAAAATAGTCTGATAAGCTAATTTTTAAAAAGAAATGCCATTAAGTATGTTGCATTGTGGTTTAAAATAACTAATGAGTTCTGAAAAAGAAAAATAATATTTCATTTTGAGTTATATGTTTTTAAAAATTAGATGTGAATGGGTGCAAAGTACGAATATTTTGTCTTTTTAGGGAGGATGTGTGGAAAAGGTTTGAGGGTTTGGGATGGGAGAAGTATTTTGCAAAGCTATCAATGTCCAAATAATTTTTTTAAAAAAATAATAAAGGTATTTAAGCAGTGAGTCTGTCTTATTTCTAAATCAAAACCGTTTTTGTTAAAGACACCAGTCCTCTTTCTGGGCCTGTGGCTCTGGAGGTTTCGGGGCCATTGAAGACCCCAGACCCTGAGGGCTACGAGGGCTGAGGCCACCTGGGGCACTGACGCAGTGCCTGCTTCCTCCTCGTCCGGCACCAGGCGCTCAGCACTTCTATTGCAGCGCCGTCTTGTTCATTTCTGTGTGCTTTCTTGCATGTGTGCAGGATTTATACTTCTATTTAACACAGAGAATAGGCAAACGGAGTTATCGGCTCACCAGCTGCTCTGCAGCCTGGCACGCACTGTGGATGGGAGCGGGCTGGGGCCCACCTCCCCTCACGCCTGCCCAGAGCACCTGGGCTCCCGAAAGACCGCTCCTGAAGCCAGGTGTGGGTGGCACATTCTGGCCCCTGACCTCCCCACAGCCTGTTCCACTTGACTGACTGACAGACCATGCTGACGAATGCAGACCCCCTGGGCCGCCTAGCTCCAGGGCCGGGCCTCAGGTACCACCCCCCAGGCAGCATCAAGACAGGATGGAAACATCATCGGAGCTTTTGAGGAAGTGTTTATAGTGTTGAAAGGGTTTAAATGTTAAGCAAGATGAAATCCTAAAAGAATTTACATGAATATCAGGGTGAAACTCCCGTGTATGTAAAATATCACCTGATCTCGTGTTGTTGGGACAATAATAAACTCTTTTCTTCCCAAGATGTGGTGTCAAGAAAGGAACAGACCTCACAGTGCTGGACTCTTAGCTGAAGACACCATTTCTCGGTCGTTTTGTAGAGTGAAAAAGCCATGGGACGCCTGGGTCCCCCGGCCTGCCTCAGTCCGAGCGTGGCCTGTGCATCAGCTGAGGCCTGCACCCGTGGCGGATGCACCCGGGGCGGAAGGTGGAAGGAGCAACCTCTCCCTGGGTCCGGTTGTTGAGCAGTCAGTGCTTTTCCTAAAAGCACTTTATAAATATAAAAATGCTCCACCATGTGAAATGCAGTCCTTGCTGAATAATGCTGAGGCTTGCTGCCCGTAGTGTGCCACTAGAGTGGCATTGGGGTGATGCGCCACGCCCTCCTACAGTCTGGAATAGACTGGAAGGAAATTGGCATTTTCTGATCCCCAAAGCTAACAAACCCCTCTTTCATATCTTAGTTCTTAGGTCCCCACTTTTTAACCTTTGGCTTGCTTTGCTTTTAAGCCATCCATAGGAACAGTAGAAATGTGTAGAGTTCATTGTGAAACCAAATGCAGGACAGAACAAAGGGGAAATGATAAACATCTGCCGTCCTCGCTGGCTTAGCCGCGCCGGAGGAGGAAGGCATGGCGTTGCTCTCCTGAGACCCACAGCTGGCTTTGACATGGGACAAGTGCCTGCGAATTAGATTGCAATTGAGAAGCTTTTCTCTCCAGATCCTCCTTCCAAAACATCTGAAGAATGAAGTTTCCCGTTTGTATATAACAGGAATCATGGAAGGCTTTTTTCCTCTGTAGAGAAGCATTTGCCCAAGTTCAGGTTTATTTTTCCCTCTGATTTTTGGGCTTGCCTCATCATCCACTGCGTTAGTCATTGTTTCTCTGCATAATTGCTCAACAGCCCTCCACACCTCCTCTAACTGCCACTGTCTGGAGGGGATCGTCTCAAATATGGCTGCACATTGGAGTCACCTGGGAGCTTCTGAAAACTGCTGAAGCTTGGCAGTTCCCCAGACGAGTTTGATCTCATCCCCGAGTGTCTTAAAGTTCCCAGGGGTACAATGTACAGGAAGTCCGAGTGGGTGAGCGAGCCTTCCACCGGAATAAGAGGAAAGCTTTCAGGCGCTGAGTGTGGGTCCCACAGGGCAGAGGCAGTGCAGGCTTTCAATAGCATGACATCAAAATACCAAAATACCAACCTTGGTTCTTGGTTAGTGTGCAGATGGAGCCAGTAAAAACCCACCCCATGCGGAACTTCAAGCCCTTGGGAAATAAGAAGGGACAATACTTGCCAAAACCGGTTTGGCTCAGTGGATAGAGCGTCGTCCTGTGGACTGAAAGGTCCCGGGTTCGATTCCGGTCAAGGGCATGTACTTGGGTTGCGGGCACATCCCCAGTAGGAGATGTGCAAGAGGCAGCTGATCGATGTTTCTCTCTCATCGATGTTTCTAACTATCTCTCTCCCTTCCTCTCTGTAAAAAAATCAATAAAATATATTTAAAAAAAAAAAAAAAAAAGAAGGGACAATGCTATCCTTACACGTGTCTGTGCTTATGTTCACCAGGACTTTTCCTTTTATTTAGCAAATGTTGTGAGCACTTACTGTGCGCTGGGGATGCAAATGTGCACCCCTGATGAGAAATCCTAAGAACGGCCTGTGCTCTTGCTGGGATGGGGTGTACAGCAGCCATCGTAAAGAACACACCTAATGTTAGGTGTTATGTTAAGTGGTAAGCATTGCAGGGAAGGAAAAAGCAGACCAGGGGTATGAGTTTCAGTTGTGGCTCTGGGCCGCAACTGTTTAAAAAGATGGTCAGGCCCTAACCGGTTTGGCTCAGTGGATAGAGTATCGGCCTGTGGACTCGATTCTGGTCAAGGGCATGTACCTTGGTTGCGGGCACATACCCAGTAGGGAGTGTGCAGGAGGCAGCTGATCAATGTTTCTCTCTCATCGATGTTTCTAACTATCCCTCTCCCTTCCTCACTGTAAAAAATCAATAAAAATCGCTTCTCGGCCTTTTGGCTAAGATCAAGTGTAAAAATCAATAAAATATATTTTTTAAAAAAAATGATAGGCTGAGGCTCATCAAGCAGGTGACCTTTGATCAAAGACCTGGAAGTAGTGGCGTGAGCCAGCTGTGCTAGAGGAAAAGCAAGGAGGTGCGTCATAGGAAGGAGGATAAAGGTGGCAACATCCTTAGGGGGTGCAGGGGGGAGAGTCAGGCCCTCTGGGACTTGTTGGTCCTTGTCATCAGGACTGTGGCTTTCACTCAGAGTGAGAGGAGTCATCAGAGGGTGTGAGCAGAGGAGGGGCAGTGTCATGTTCAGGTTTCTAAAGGGTCTGAAAGGGACCCAGCGAGCAAGCAGGGAGACCAGTGAGGAGGCCGCTGCAAAGCCCAAGGAGTGGCAGAGAAGGAACAGAGAAGGAGTGCGGTGTCTGCCTTTTGAAGGCAGAGTCAAAAGTGTTTGCTGGCAGGCTGGGTGTGAAGTGCAACAGCAGAGCAGTCCAGAGGGATTCTAGCCGGGACTTGTGGCCTCAGCCGCTAGAGGGTGGAGTAACCACTGTGTTTGTTAAGGTTACCATCTCATTTTAATTTTAATTTATGAGGCGACTAAACGAAGACATGGCTTGGCCAATGCCACTGCAAGAAGATTGTATTTCCCACGCTGGGGCACGAGGTTTCGGCCAGGAGGCAAAAGGAGCAAGGGGACGCAAGGCCAGAGTCATTGGGAGTTCAGTACCGGGCAGGGCAAACCGTTCAGGAATGGCTAGTTTAAATCATGCCAGTGGCTCAGGGCCTGAGGCTGTCCGAGTTGTCTGGCACGGGGAGGGGAATGCTGATGTGGCACTGAGAGTTGGGTCAGGAGGTGGCAGAGGTGTGGGCTCTGGATGGGTTGTTTGTATGTGAAAGGCATAAGGAGTGGGAGCCTGAGCTCTAAGAATTGGCTAGACCTGGGAGGGGTGGTGTCTTCCCAGTCAGCCAGGCCACAAGGCCAGAGTATCAAGAATACTTAAAGTAAGAAAATATAGCTAAAATAATTAGCCCTGCCCTAGCTGGTTTTGCTCAGTGGATAGAGCATCGGCCTGCTGACTGAAAGGTCCCGGGTTCGATTCCGGTCAGGGGCACATGCCCAGGTTGCCGGCTCGATCCCCAGTGGGAGGCATGCAGGAGGCAGCCGATCAGTGATTCTCTCTCATCACTGATGTTTCTATCCCTCTTTTTCTCTCCCTTCCTCTCTCTGAAATCAATAAAAACATATTTAAAAAATAATAACAATTGGCCCTATGATGAATGGATGCTGAATAGATAAATCCAGAATCTAAGAAAACACAGAACAGGTACATATACCAGCTGCTGGAAAGATATACCCTTAATCCCCCAGTGGCCTGACCTATAGAAGTGTATTATTCATTTACATCAAGTCCAGTTGGCACAAGGTGGGTTGGGGGCTCTGCTCCATCAGTCGTCAGGGACTCAGCTGGTAGGAGCTGTGCCATCTTTAATCTGTGCCTTCCGAGATCGCCCTGGGCAGGTAGAGAATCAAGTGATGGGTTTCCGTGGGCCAGGTCTGGAAGGGGTGACAGTGCTTCTGCCCATTCACATGTCCACACCCAGCTGCTGGGTGCCCAGAGGACAGAGAAAGAGATTTGGGGAACCACACATCAGTTCTGAGGGGCAACAGATGTGGACGGCACAGGTCTGAGGGAAGAGCAAGACATGTTAAGCTTGAGATAAATACACTGTAGACTCCCAAGGGGTAATGGGTTGTATATGGCTCTGAAATTCGGGGAAAGATCTGGACTGGAGATACAGAGTTGACAATTGTCAGCATCTAGATGGGTCTTTAAAACCACGAGATAGGTCCTGACCGGTTTGGCTCAGTGGATAGACCGTCGGCCCTCAGACTGAAGGGTCCCGGGTTCAATTCTAGTCAAGGGCATATATCTTGGTTGTGAGCTCAATCCCCAGTAGGGGCGTGCAGGAGGCAGCTGTTCAGTGTTTCTCTCTCATCAGTGTTTCTAACTCTCTATCCCTCTCGCTTCCTCTCTGTAAAAAAATCAATAAAACTCTATTAAAAAACAAACAAACCATGAGAT